GGAAAATTATTTATTATCTTATATGAGTCAATATTGAGATCAAATTAACAAATGAAAAAAATTTTAAAAATTCATTCAAAATCAAGTAATATATAAATAAAAATAAATATAATAGAAAATCAAAGTCATTCCAAACTTTATTTATATAATGTATCATAACATTCCTTGATGGGATGGACTTAAATGTGTTCATAATATTTTAATAAATAAAATTATAATTATGTTTTATTTATTGTTCTAATATTTATATAAACAACTTAATATAAATATACAAATATTAATATAAAAATATTAAATAAATTTAAATAATTAAAAATATTAATATAAAATAATATTAAACAAATGTTATATGATATTTATATATATATATATATATATATATTTTTTATAAATTAACATCATAAATATTACTTTCTTCTTCTTTATTTATCTCATATTTACTTTACAATAAAATTATTAATTTATACATATAATATAAATATCTATGTATAAAAGTATATATTTATATATATAAATATGAACATTAGTTTTTCAGAAATAATATTAAAATAATATTATTATAACATTATTTCATGGGTAAATTTTTTGAATATAACTTTCAATTACTTAAATTTATTAAGGGTTGTAGAATTTTATGAGTTTGATATCTTATTCAATAGACTATCCTCATATTTTTTTAATTTGTCGTATATTTTAACTTGTAATAAAGATATTTCCTACAAAAGTCTTTCTTGCTTTCTCTTAAACTTTTTACTGGTGATGAATTTATTATGTGATCCATGGGAGAGATGACAAACAAAAAACAAAACAAAAAAATAGATTTTTCATTTTTCTAAGGTGGGTAACAAGCCCAACAACCTACAACAGCCTATGGTAGAGACGGCGTTGAAGTCAAACAAACCTCTCCCTAGAGCGTAGTTGGAAATTCCAGGTCTTCCTCCTTTTTCCCTTACTTTTTATTCATTATCTCTCTCGCGCATAAGTTCTAGAAAGATCCATCCCATTCCGAGATGGACGGTGCGCCATCATCCGCCGCTGCCGCCGCCGCCGCTTCCGCCGCCGCCGCCGGAGCTGGAGGACCAGCGCCGTTTCTTCTGAAGACGTACGACATGGTGGACGATTCCTCCACCAACGACATCGTTTCGTGGAACTCTTCTAACACCAGCTTCGTCGTGTGGAACCCGCCGGAGTTCGCTCGCCTTCTTCTCCCGACCTATTTCAAGCACAACAACTTCTCCAGCTTCATCCGCCAGCTCAATACCTACGTGAGTTTCTTCGATTTGTGCCTTCGCCTTTGTTTTGCTTCAGATTGATCCTGCGCTTGCTTTGTTTATAATTCGTTTTTATTGCTGCTTCTAGTTTAATTGGTTCATGCATTTAATGTTTGCGCAGTTTGATTGTGTCCTTGCTTAAACTTATAGCCGGATTTGACTAACTTTTTTAGTCGTCGTTGTTGGATATTAGCACCGAGCTGAATTGAAATGTTACTTGTGTGATTGAGAAAATGTATAGTGAGATAGAGAAAGCTTCAATTTGGATTATGATGCGATTGAGAAAATGTATAGTGAGATAGAGAGCTTCAAAATATAAAATGGGTTTAGTACTTGCCATATAAACGAAGTAGAAGGATGTTATAGGAGGATTAGAATTAGTTACAAGTTATTAAAGTTAAAGAGACTGTTAAGCTTGAAAGACAGGGAAAGGTGTAGGATAGCTTTCCTTTTATGGTGTGAATTGGGGTATAAACAGAATCTATTGAGGAAAATGATAAAACTAAATCTTCTGCTATAGCTTGCTGTATCCCATGCTCAAATAAACTACCAGAAAACTTGCACTCAGCAGAAGGTAATAAGAATCTGGTACTGGTATTGGACTCAACCTGCATCAAAGAAGGTTGATCAGTCTTCTGCAACTTCCTGATAGATCACACAATTGTTAGTTACCAAGTCACCAAATTTAATCAAAAGTTTAATCCTGGATTGCGGTATTCTATTATTGACAAGAAATAAATGTTAAATACGAATGATAATTGTTAGTTATTAGAATATGAAGGTTTCTTAGTGTTTTGCGAGTCTTACAATGTAAGTAATCTTATTTGGCTGCTAATGAGGTTTCTGTAAACTAGTACTTGAACTATCTTATCAGAATAAATAGTGGTTGGTATCTTTGACCAATGTCAATGTAGATCTCATTATGATAGTCTTCTCTTTTTTATTAAGACTCTCCATATGATTATAATACTATTCCATGACTATTATAACAAAAAGTATAATATAGTTTCAATATATATATGTATATGTTTCCCATGGTTTTCCAAAAATGAATTTATTTTCACCCATGTTTCAAGTGTCACTAGCAGATTGGTTTGGCAGTTTTCATGCCTTCACTTTTCGCAGAGTGATGTTTTAATGTTATGTCTTTTGGACATCACTGGGAGTTTGAGGAGCACGAGTTTTGTGTGAATTGTAATTAAAATATGCTCTATTTCAGTTGAATTTCTTATCGTCAAATAACAAATTTGAAAAATACATGCTGGAGGGTTGGTTGTTTTCATGAAGAGGATACATACGCATTGTTTGAACTTTCTTCCTCCATCATAAATGCTCCTTATCCGGAAAATGATGGCTAACGGAGGAGCATATTAGTTCAATGACTATAATAATATAAAGTATAAAACGGTTTCAAATATCATATATATGCTTTTCTGTTGGTTTTCCAAAAATGAATTTAATACCACCCAAGTTTCAAGTTTCACTTGCATGATTTATTTGGCAGTTTTCCTATATTGTCTTTTGCAGAGTGATAGTTTTTTAATGTTATGTGTTCTGGAAAGTATTGAAAATTTAGGGGCACGAAGTTTGTGTGAATTGTGGTAAAAATATATGATCTATTTTGGTTTAATTACTTATCATCAACTAACCAAACTTGAAAAATTCATTCTTGAGCATGTTTGGTTGTTTTCATGACGAGTGTATGTTCACTATGTTCACTACCTCTAAACTTTCTTCCTCCTTCATAAATGTTCTTCATATAGAAAAAGGATGGCTGATGGAGTTACATATCAGTTCAATGCCTATTATATGATAAAAAATTTAAAGCTGTTTCAAAACATATATATGTTTTTCTGTTGGTTCTCCAAAAACGAATTTAATACCCCCAAGTTTCAAGGTTCACTAGCATGCTTGGTTTGACAGTTTTCGTATATTGCCTTTTCAGAGTGATACTTTTGTTACCTGTTTTGGAGACCATTGGGAAGTTGACTGCGAATTGTGATAAAAATATGGTCTATTTCAGTTGAATTATTTATCATCAAATGACCAAACTTGAAAAGTTATCATGCTATAACATGTTTGGTTCTTTTCATGACGAGGATAAGTTATGCTGCCTTTAAACATTTTTCCTCCATCATATATGTTCTGTATCCAGAAAAAGATGGCTGACAGTGGTGCATATCAATTGATGTATGTCTATTAGTAGGTCTTCAACAAAAAACAGATGCTTAATAATACATAAAATACTCAGCTTCCCATCGCTAAATTTAGGGCTATGCTATCAAACGGTTGAATGTTTATGCACTTGAAGTTTTGCACTCAAGGTTTGTATTTTATTTTTTCTTTCAGTGCAAAGAGCATATTACCTGACACTTTATTTGATCAATTTCCTTAAACCCTTGGTTGCAAAAAGTGTTCTAATGTGCTTTTGTTTGATGATATTAAACAAGGTTATCAGAATCGAGAGTCTACGTTGACTCGTGAGAGCTTCGTAGACTCGACTCATAAACCCGACTCATAGACTCGTAAGAGTCTACTTCATATGAAAAATTCTATATAATAATACAAATTCAGAATTTCATCATCAAAATTAATGAAAATAAAAAACAATAGTTCAATAATTCTAAAATAACTTGGTTCAACACACATGATTGTTATATAAGTTCAAATTACACCAAATACATAAGTTAATACAAATCACCAAAACATAAATAACTTCAACTTTCTAGCTTCAATCCTCTAATTATATCATCTCCAACATCATCATCTTTTTCATCTTCATCATCATCATCTTCTCCATCACCATCAACCTCTTCCTCGGATGATAAGAGTGCATCATCAACATTGGCATCAAACACTATATTATCAAGATCAATTGGCTCTAAAGTAGGATCAACTGAACTTATTTCAGCTATGTCAACATTTTCCTCATCACCTTCACCTTGAACTGGCTCAATCCCAACATTATCACCATCTTCTGTCATCCATTCATCATCATACTCAATATCATCAAATGGGAGAGCAACTGTTTTCCTATTTTGTTTATTTTTGAGCTTCAAGTTGTACATGACATAAACCAAGTCATTCATCTTTTTCTGGTGCAAACGGTTTCTTATTTTTGTGTGAACCTATAAATAAATATGAATGTTTAAATACAAAAAATTAAAAACAAATAATAACTTAACAAATTTGACTTACCATTTCAAATGAGCTCCAATTACGCTCACACCCGGAAGAACTACAAGTTAAGTTCAAAACTCGAATAGCAAATCGCTTCAACTCCGGAGTTCCATCTCCAAACATTTCCCACCATTCTCCAGGAAGCATAACTTTCCTACAATCTTTTGCATTTTCCATTGAGAAAAGTCCTTTTGCAAAATGAAACTCTAGAAGTTGTAAATTAATTTTTTTCCTTTGTGCAACATCCTTGACCAATCTTTTCATGCATTCATACAACCCTTCTTTTACCTCCACATCATCATTTCTAAAATTAGGTTCATAGTGCATGTGAGGGTTAAGGTAATATGCAGCCGCATGCAAAGGTCTATGAAGTCGATTATTCCACCTCTCATCAATTATGTTCCAAACGGGTTCATAACTACAATGATGCAATCATGCAATGTTAGAAATAATTACACAAAATAAAGAATGAAAATCTGAAAAAGAGAAAATTTATAAATTTTACCTTTTCTTAATATTATTAAAGTTAAATTTGATCTTCTCTTTGGCAGAATCCATTTCTTCATAAATGAAACCCATTGCGGGTTTTATATCTGAATCCACTAATCGAAGGACCACCATCAAAGGGGCAGCAACTTTGAGACAAGTGGTTACATTCTTCCGAACCGACTATCTAATACCACATGCTCAATTTTTCTCCCTTCCATTGAAGTTCCAAATTTGCTTGATTTCCACTCATCAGAGCTAAAGAAGCTCATCAATGATGCTTTCAATTCATGAAGACATGCAAGAGTTAGATAAGATGTGGCAAATCTAGTCATACCTGGCCTTATCAAGTCTCTACCTTTGGTAAACTTCTTTAACATGCTAATTAGCATTGCTTTACCATAAATGTAGGTAGTGATTCTTCTTCCCTTCTTAATAGTAGTTTGATGGACCTTCAAATGTTTTTCAAAATCTTCAAAAATCAAATCAATGCAATGGGCAGCACATGGGGTCCAATACAAATGCTCTCGTTTTTGCATCAATAACTCTCTCCAGCTACCTTGAAATTTGCAACATTATTGATAACCACTTGAACCATATTCTCCTCTCCAACAAATTCCACTACATCATCCAACATCTTAAACACTTTATCTGCAGTTTTTGAGATATTTGATGTATCCAATGAGTAAAGAAACACAATTCCTTTAGGACTATTGACTAGAAAGTTACAAATAGAACGTCTTTTTTGTCAGTCCACCCATCGGACATGATTGTGCAACCTCGTTCTTTTCCACTCCTCCTTATATTCTTCAAGGATTACATCGAGTTTTTGCACTACTTGTTTCAAAAGTTTTTCTCTAATATCATGATATGATGGGGGTTTGTAACCAACTCTATATCTTCCAATCATCTCACACATTTTTGCAAAAGCAGGATTTCTAATAACATTGAATGGAATGACACTTGTGTAAAAAAATTCCGCCACTTGAGCATCAACTTTTTCTTTATCCCCTTTCTTATACAGTTGATTTAAAGTAGATTGAACACCTTGACTGAATTTGTCCTTTCCTTTATTTTTGAACATCATACTACTACTACTTTGAGTGGTATCCACCTCTTGAATGTGCTCATCATCATACTCATCAATTATATTTCGTCTCCTTTTCTTTTCTGAAACATCTTTAGCCTCTGCTACAACTTTCATCATTACAACTTTCACTTCTTCTGGAACTGAGGCACATGGTTCAGAATCATATCTAGTACCAGCAAGATGATGTTTGAATCTGAAAACTCCTCCATTGATTATTTTTGAGCAATAATTACATTTAACTTTTTTTCCATTACCCGAAACATCCGTTCAGTGTTTCCATCCAATGTCGGTCCAGGTTTCCTAAAACATTTTTACTTCTAGGTCTAGGAGGTCTAGGTAGTGAAGATACATTAACATTGGAATCACAAGAATTTGAAGCAGTCCCACTTCCGGACATTGCAAATCGAGTCTCAATTAACTAAAAATAAAATAATTTATTTTTTTAGAACAACTATAAAAGACAACTAAAATAAAAGATAAAATATGCAACAAAAAATAAATTCAATATATAAAACAGAGAATAAATTATATAAATACTACCTATTCAATGAATAAATAAATAAATAAAAAATATAAAAAAATTTACCGACTAGATTTTTGCTAATGAATAAAAAAAAAAATTTCGAGACAAATGCATTGCATTTTAGAGAAATGCAACGCACATCCTCACACTCACTTACGCACCAACCAATGCATGACAATCCTACCTGCGACGCGAGGCAAGGCGACCGGAGCTGTTACGCAAGGCGACCGGAGCTGCTACGCGAGATGACCGGAGCTGCGACGCGAGGCGATTGGAGGTGCGACGCCACTGAGCTACGGGGGCGAAAACGCGACACGACGCGGTGACGCGGAGCTGCGAGGGCTGAGCTGCAGGGCGATGACGCGATGCGACGCGACCAGAACTGCAACGCGCGACACCAGAGCTGCGGGGGCGACGGAGGTCAGATCTAGGTTTTCATCTTCGATTTTCTCTTCTTCTTCGATTAGGGTTTTTGATTTGGGTTTCAATCTTTAATTTCGTTTAGGTTTTCGATTTGGGTGGTTAGGGCTTTTGTTTGGGTTTAAAATCGAAATGGTAACGACATTTTTGTTTGTCGTTTCGTCCCTCCCTACGAACTCGGTGACTCGCTCTCAAACTCGCGAGTCTATTCCGAGTCAGCGAGTTTATTCCGAGTTCACTCCGAGTCAAACAAAAAACGAGTTTATATGCGAGTTAACCCGTAAACAATAACTTGACTCGCTGACTTGTACGGGTGTACGAATCAACCCGCGAGTTCGATAACCATGATATTAAAATTTAACTGAATTTGAAAGTGAAAATATAATTTACTGGCAAAGGAAATAATAATAGCTTTGTCAGATGTGGTTACTTTGTAATCAATAATCTCTGTATTCTCGCAGAGAGTTAGCCGTGATGCAACATCAAAGTTGCTCATTGGTGACCAAGTCATGGATTCAATTTTGAAAATAGTCTCTGCTTATACTAGGGTAAGGCTATGTACAATGACCCTTCCCTATCTTGTCACCATAATACAGGGACTGTGGTTTTCACATCTTTCAATTGCACCAGTGTACTTTGGTCATCTTCTCCCCATTAAAACTGCTTCTTGGTCAAATCAGTTAAAGATTTGACCATCTTTCCATTACCCTTTTACAAATTTAGGTGATATCCTGTTAAACTCAAGTACCTTGGATAAATTCAAGTACAGGGTACTTTTGGTTTCTTGAAATAGGAGATTCTAATGTCTAACACACTCTTGATCATTTGGAGTATGTAGTCAACTAGCCACCATTTTCCTTGAGATAATGCAATATACTCAACTAATTTTCTCCAAATTGACATTTATTTTTAGGTTGTTACTTATTAAGTCCTTAGAGCTGTACAAACTGTACCCTTTGATGCCTATATTTAAAAGCAATCCATTTTAGTCCCTGTAAATACCATTTTAATTGTTTTTAGTTCCTAAATCATTTTTGGTCCTAACCGTCTAAATTCAGAAGGACTAAAAGAAATAAAATTAGTTGTAGGATGCTTTTTAGTGTAAGGACTAAAAGGTAAAGTTTATTCAAGTACAGGGACCACATGAGTAATTTTACTTAGTTTTATTTGCAACTAGCTCTGTTTATTTTAAAACATCTAATACTTCCCTCATGTACCTTATTTGAGCTCCCCAATCCATGCATAAATCAAGATTGTCATCAAGGCTCATGCTACCACGGAGGTACTGTTTACTTGTTTGATAGCTGCTATTGTTGTGCTTTTAGTTGAGTGCATTAGTTTCTTTATTGATAGAGTCATGAAGGGACACTTTGGCTTTAATTTTCTGTCGATGTGTTGGGCCCCTTTTAGAAGGTTCAATGGTTCATTCTGTGTGAGCTATAGAAGCCCATTCAGGTTGCATTTTAAGAGACTCAAGATATCTGTAGGTCTGTACTATTATGGACAGTAATGAATTTCAACTTTGAATGCAATCAAACTGTATAAAGTTGTGATGCTTTCTTTTGCTAGAATTGCTTCGTATTTCGTAGATCTCAGTTTGTGTGACGCTAATATTACTTTTGTGTTACTGTGCTTGATTTTTTTATTCAAGGGTTTCTTTGGGGCTGTATCCAGTGATGTTTTTAATAAACCATTATTTGGTTACGTTTGATTTGGTTTGGTTTATTGACACTGTTCTGTTATCAGGGATTTAGAAAAATACATCCAGAGCGATGGGAATTTGCTAATGATGAGTTTGTGAAAGATCAGAAGCATCTTCTTAAGAATATACATCGTAGGAAACCTATCCACAGTCATAGTCATCCTCCTGGTACTCTTGTAGACCCAGAAAGAGCAGCATTTGAGGAAGAAATCGAGAAACTTTCCCGTGAGAAAACTTCTCTTGAATCCAATATTCATAACTTCAGACAACATCAGTCAACAACAAAGCTTCAACTGGAAGATTTTTTGCAACGGTTAGACGGTACGGAGAAAAGGCAGAAACAATTGCTGAACTTCTTTGAGAAGGCTCTTCAGAATCCTAGTTTTGTTGAACATCTTTCACGAAAAATTGAGTCCATGGATTTATCAGCATATAATAAGAAGAGGCGATTGCCTCAAGTTGACCACGTTCAACCAGTTGCGGAAAGTAGCTTGGTGGACAATCATAACAATTTTAGAATGGAATTTGGAATTGTGTTTCATCAGGATTTCTCAAATAAGCTCAGACTGGAATTATCACCAGCTGTCTCAGATATGAACTTGGTATCACGTAGCACACAGAGTTCAAATGAAGATGGGGAAAACCCACAGAGAAAACTGTCTGAAGTAGAACCAAAAGTAGTGCAGACAAGAACATCTCTTACTTTTGCACCTGAAACATTAGAACTTGCAGATACAGGGGCTTCTTTTACTTTTAGGATGGATCCATGTTTACCGCGAAAAGCAACAACTACTGAGAACTCAAAACTGATCTCTTTGGAGCCAAGTAGTGAAGAAGGCGATAGTCATATATCCTGCCAATTAAATTTAACCCTGGCATCTTGTCCATTGCAAGTGAACAGAAATTCTTACTCAGCCAGATCACCCCAAATTGACTGTCAAGAAATTGGCAAATTGGCAGAATCGAGATTTTTTGCCAATGGTAAAGAATCTGATAGTGGCGTTTCCTCAAACCGAAACGTAGCTGAGGCTACCGATTTAGCTTCACCAAAGGAGGCTAGTAACAACCAAGTTAATCCAGCTCCTCCAGACAGGGTGAACGATGTTTTCTGGGAACAGTTTCTTACCGAAAGGCCAGGCTGTTCTGACAATGAAGAGGCAATATCCAATTACCGAGCTAACCCATATGATGAACAAGATGAAGGACGGTCAGTTCATGGAATATCTAGAAACATTAAGAACATGGATCAACTCACACTTTGAGTTGATCATACTGTCTTGGAGAACACCTATATTATTGTTATATAAAAATTTCATGACTAATTTGATTTGAAACTTCACAGTTGGCAACAAATTGTGTCACAATTGGCTAAAACTATTCTTTCTGGCTTGCTACCTGATGTCTTTTGTGAATATATGAAATCCTTATCGGTTTTGGGGACTGATGGATACAAATGTTAATTAATTGTTTGGCCTGTGTTGAGTTTTTCTTCGTGCTTAGTTAGAGAGCGTAAGTATTTGCTGAATAAATCTATGATGGAAAGTTATCATAGAATTCTAAAACAGCGTGAAAAAATACTTATTGAGAACTCACATTGACGACAAATACGTTATCAAGTCCGTACAACGAACGAATTGCAACAGATAATTTTATCTTGCATGAAATTATTTGTTGTCTTAAAGTCATCATCTATTAATTTCATATCCCTTGCTAGTTGGATATTGAAACAGCCAAAGTCTTCTCTAGTTAAAGTTTCATCATTTCAACGTGATGACTCGGGATTTCCATTCCCGTTTTCACTTATTTGAATTTTTTTAAGAAGTAGCAAATATAATCTAAACTTTGAAATGCCCCTATTTCTGAGTAAACTGGCTTTAGTTCATGAAATTGTATTTGTCATGCAGCTTTGTTCCTAATTTTACAAAAATAAAAAAATAAGTTTTGCATTGATATACTCGCTTTTGTCTTTGTTTTTTTTTTTTTCCTCCCACGACGATAGTGCGTGACTAACATTTTACTTATTGGGTTTAGGACAAATGTTGTATTAGTTGAATGAAAAGCGAGAACCTTTAGAAAAAAAAAAAAAGTTCAATTTATATGACTTTTTCTTTGAAGAATTTATTTTTTGTCTTTTATACATACATACTTGAGGCAAAATTAACATTTTCCCCTTAAATCCGAGGTTGTTTTTTAATTCGCCATTCATGTTTTAGTTCTTTATAATTTAATACAATTTGTTTCCATCTTTTATCCTTTAAAAATATTATTTTAATTTCTAAAATTTGGATTGATATTGTACTTTAACAATAATTATGAAGCTTTTTTTTTTTTTTACTGAAAACATAGTATTCATTTAATTAGATCCCGTTAAATGAAAGCTATGAAATACAATTAATATTAAAATAAAATACAGTCACAACTAAAAAAAGAAAATTGCACAAAAAGCATATCCAACGGAAGTCCAAAATATGGAAAAATCTAATAACTTTTTTAATAGCAAATTATGTATCATCATCGTTCATCAAAATAGAGCTTATTCTATATGCAATATTAGAATAGAAAACATTATTATATTTTCAATCAATTAAAAGTTATACTATCTATAACGCTTAGAGTGTTTAATAGAAAATTTCTTTTACGTTTTTTTAAATTTGAATTATTTATATTTTTTAAATATTTTATTAAAATAAATCAATTCAATTTTCTTAATTTTCAAATTCTTATTTTGGATAAGATAATTTAACTTTTATTATATAAAATTGTTCTTAAAAAAAAATATAATTGGGTAAAACTCTTAACCACGTTGAGATTATTGAGTTTTTGGTATATTAGTCAATTTATAAATAATCTAAAAGTAGATATATTCGTAGTAGGCATAACAATTGAATCGGGTTGGGTTGAATTTTGTCTTTCACAATTAAATCCACGAGGACCAACCCGTTTCTCATTTATATTTAAATTTTAAAATATTAATATTTTAAAAATATTTTTTTTTCTATTATATATAATGTCATTTTTTTTTATATTTTATCATCTTTTACTTTTCTTCTATCTACTTTTTAATTTTGTTGTCATTTTTAATCTTTTATATACATTAGTTTATTATATTATTATCTCCTACCTTTCAGTTTTTCACATTTTTTTAATCTCTCCAATCAATTTATCTTTTTTTTTCAATCTTTTCAACCAATTTGATGAACACAAAGTTAATTTTTTTCTTTATCTTTTTCTAAATATTTTACATAAATCTTAATAGTAACTAATATTATTTTATTTATAATTTATATTTATTAGATTTTATTATGTCATATTTTTTTATCTTATTATTCTTATTTATCATATATCAAATTTTATCTTAATAAAATAATTATATTTTAAAGGATTAAAAAGAATTAATAATTTAATATTTTATTACTTTGAACTAATTAAATAATAATTAACTTATTAAATATTTTTTTATAAATTATATATTTTATATTTTTAAATGACAACTTAAAATGAATTAACTTATATATAATCAAATGTTTGAATACAATATAATAATAATAATAATAATAATAATAATAATAATAATAATAATAATAATAATAATAATGATGTTATAAGTATTCAAATGTTTAAATAGTGTTATAATAATAATAATATAAATATTATATATATATATATATAAAATAAAAAATATTTATTTTACATATATATATATATATATATATTTTAATATAAATATAATAAATTAAAATATATATTTAATTAATAATAATTATAAATTGTAAAATTATAAATATTTATTTATATATAAAAAATACATAGTAAAATTAATTTATTATAAATATAATTATCCTTTTAAACATAATATAGATGAGGGACGAGACGGAGGCGAGGAAACCCGAAACCCAGCGGAGATAGGGATAAAGACTTAATTTTTAACCCCGGCAGGGATCGGGGCGGGGACGGAGATGATTAAAAAAGTCAAGGACGGGGATCGGGGAGGTAAAACCCGTTCCGTCCCGTTGTCATGCCTATTTCTGACCCTATCTCTGACTTTTTTGAATCGTTTTCAACTTTTTTAACTTTTTCCATTCCCACCTTTGATCCTCGTTGGGGTTAAAAATTAAGTTTTCATCTCCTTTCCAATTGGATCTCGGGTTTCTCCGTCCTCAACCTGTTTCCGTTTTACATTACTTCTAAGAAAATAATTATACTTATAAGAAATTAATTTTAATATTTTTTATATGTAAATAAATATTATAATTTTATAATTATTATTAATTAAATATATACTTTAATTTATTATATTTATAATAAAATATACATGTAACAGAAAGTTTAATCATTTATTTTATGTGGATATAAAATAATAATAATAATAATAATATTATTATTATTATTATTATAACATTGTATTTAAGCAAAACTTATCCTATATATAATAATCAACCATAAATATGGAACAAAGCATAAACATAATAATCATTAAAAAAAAAAAAAAAAGCCTCTAGACAAAATATACAAACAAACAACTTACCTCAAAATCATGTCATTTCTATCTCATTTCTTACCATCAACTTCTTGTAAGAGTGTTCTCAATGTTAGATTTTAAACATAGATTTGAAGTACGAACACAAAGAAGAAATTTGGGAGAATTTAGAAAACCCTCAATGAGAACCTCCAACTATAAATTATATAATAATTAACAATTTTTATAATATAAAATATCGTCAAATATAATTAAAACATATTTAATTTCATGTATATTTATTTTATATCAATATTAAATATTCATGGATAATTTATAATTTTTTAATAATTATATTTATATATATATATATTATATCACAAATAATTATTAATGTATATATATATTATTCAATCTAACTCTCGTGACTCCATCCAAGTGAAGAGAAAGGTTAAAAAGTGACGGTGGTTGTAGCAGTAGTGGTATAATGGGTGGAAAATGTAAAAAAAAAAAAAAAAATGGAGACATGGTTGTGAGGTCCGGGAAGCGTGAAAGATTTGCTGAATGTTTGGGAAATGGAAGATAGATTGCGTGTGGTCCATGTCTGTTAGGATGGCAATATCTTGGTGCATATTTTCATGTTTAGTTTTAAGCGAGTTGTAACAACCATAAGCCGGTGCATATTTTCATGTTTAGTTTTAAGCGAGTTGTAACAACCATAAGCCTAAGTTGTCTAGAAGATGTGTAAGATTTCTTCTAGATCTTTGTTAAGGTTGGGAGGCATATGATTAATGAAAAGATCAAAATGATACATTTTAAAAAGAAAAAAATTATAAAAGACTTGTATAAACCCTGTTGTATCACTTTTTTAATATTGTAAAAGACTTGTATAAACCTTGTTGTATTATTCTTTTTAATATGTATATGATATATGACTTTTATTTATAATAGAAAATATTTATTTTTGATGATAAAAAGTTAATAACAAAAAGATTCTTTATAATATAACACAAAATAATAATATAAAAGAATATGATATCACATTCAACTTAAAATCTTAAAATATTAGGTTATAAGTCTTTTTCACTTGTAAATTACTTAATTTTCTAATTTCTATCCAATGTGATATTTCAACTCACACTTAAATTCTCAATCATCTCCCTTTTAAGTGTGATTCCTTTTTATATTGGTACATCACCCACTCAAACCAAAATATTTATTAACCATGGGTATCCAATAATGACCTTACTTATATTATCATTCAATATAATGAGATTCATTTGTTTGAAACTTTTGCCAGGAAAACTTTTAATACAAAAATTCATAATCTAGGATCTTTCACCTATTTTAAATTGTATTCAACCGAATCGATCATCTAACAAACCATTGAATATAATTTTATTGTTGGATACAATTTGGAGTAGGTGAAAGATCTATACCCAATGTCTTAAGGTGTTTAGTTAAAATGATGTTATATTATCTTATATGATTAACTTGTGTCCGGTGATGAGATTTTGACCATTGATTTTGGGGGCTAAATAATATATTATTAATAAATAATAAATAAATATAAAAGGTGAAAAAAGATGAAATAGTGAGAGAATAAAATTGTAAATATATAAGTAAATAAATATATTAAATAATCATTAAGTTTGAGGACCAAAATCATAAATTATATGAGTTTAAAACTAAGAGGAGGTTGAGAGGATAAAATTGTAAATATATTAAATGATCATTAAATTTGGAGGACCAAAATCATAAATTATATGGAGTTACAAAACTTTGGGGACTAAATAATATATTATT